GGTGATGCTGATGACCCAATTAATTTTAAGGAAGCCATGGAATCATCAAATAAGGATAAATGGATGAAAGCCATGGAGGATGAATTGGCTAGTATGTTAAGCAATAAAGTATGGGATCTTATTGATAGATCAAACTCCATAAAACCTATAGGGTGTAAATGGGTATTTAAGACCAAAAGAGATGCAACTGGAAAGGTTGACAGATATAAGGCAAGATTAGTGACTAAAGGTTATAATCAAAAGGAAGGCATCAAAAGGAAGGCATCAACTACAATGAGACATTTTCACCTGTCTCAACAAAAGATGCATTTAGAGTCATAATGGCCATTGTAGCACACTTTGACTTGGAACTACATCAGATGGATGTAAAAACAGCTTTCTTAAATGGAGATCTGGAAGAAGAAATCCATATGTGCCAACCAGAAGGATTTGCATTGAATAACAATAAAGTTTGTAGATTGAACAAATCCATTTATGGCTTGAAACAAGCATCGAGACAATGGTATAAGAAATTTGATGCTGTTATGAACAATTTTTGGCTTTGAGGAAAAAAATTAGATGAATGCATATACTCAAAGACCAGTGGGAGTAACTTCATATTTCTTATACTATATGTAGATGATATACTATTGGCAACAAATAGCAAAAATCTTCTACAATCTACAAAAGCTTTTCTTATGAAAAGTTTTGACATGAAGGATATGGGTGAAGCAAACTATGTATTGGGAATTGAGATAATCAGAAATAGACGAATGAGAACTCTAGGATTGTCTCAAAAGGGTTACATTGAAAAGGTATTAAAGAGGTTCGGCATGGAAAATTGCAAAAGAGACGAAGCCCCAATTTCAAAGGGTGATAGGTTACATAAAGGACAGTGTCCTGGTAATTCACTTGAAAGGAATGAAATGGACAAAATACCCTATGCAAGGCTAGTTGGAAGCTTGATGTATGCACAAGTATGCACTAGGCCTGACATAGCCTTCGCAGTAAACATGTTGTCCAGATTTCAATCCAATGCGGGTCATGCACATTGGATTGCTGGAAAGAAGGTACTAAGGTACCTGAAAGGAACTATGGACTACATGTTGACATATGAAGGATCTGATAAGGAGCTGAAAGTAGAATGCTACACAGATGCTTCATATAAGCAAGACCACGATGATCTTAAGTCTACTTCAGGTTATGTCTTTATATTGGGAGGGGGTGCAGTTTCATGGAAAGCAAGCAAACAATCTTTGACTGCTACTTCTACATTTCAAGCAGAATACATAGCTATCTATGATGCTACATCTCATGCCATTTGGCTCAAGAACTTCATCGCTGGATTGAAGATTGTAGATTCAATACATAGACCCCTTACAATGCACTGTGATAATGCTGCAGCAGTATTTTTCACTAAGAACAACAAAAGAAGCAGTGGTTCTAGGAATATAGATGTGAAGTACTTTGCCGTAAGGGAGAATGTCAGGGACAAGGAAATTGAAATTTTGAAGATAGGAACAAGGGAACAACTGGCAGACCCTTTCACAAAGGCACTTCCAGTTGAAAGTTTCAAAAGGCATGTCAAAGCTATGGGAATGACAGATTCCCTTAATAATTGAAGAATGAAATAATGTAAATTATAAGTTGTATTTCCTTGTAACATGTATTCATTTAGTGTATGCTAATATATGTGATTTATTTATAATGCTAGCTGATTATATAAACTGAGCTTGTACAAATTCAGATGTTCACATATATTTGCAAAAGTACTTTTATGAAGCCACGCAATTCAGGGATTTGTGGAACCTTACTGGACTAAAGCTTTGAGTTGTAGATGGTTGAGAAGGGCAGGGTAAGTATAAATATGATGTTGAGATTGGATCAATGTGACCATGAAAGCCTGCACAATGTAATTGATCAGTAAACTTCCATGATCCTCTGTTCCGTTTCAACATTTCTGTGATTAAGAATCTGATGTGGTTATATAAATCGAGTGCACAATTCAGTTGATTGTTATTATCAAGTTGTCATCTTGTTCAGTGGGAGATTGTAGCATATATATATATATATATAT